TATACCTTCAAAGCATGTATCAATTGTTTAATTATTATAATATTTTCTATGCGCAATTAAAGACTTACAAGACTCTAAAAGTTGATCGCCGATGGTTAATTGATCTAGTTTGGCCCTTTAGGTACATAATCACTATGAATGCTGTTCTACGCTATATAACGAGACATAGTACGTTGAACTGTATTTTTTACGGTTAGAAAATGCCAAACCAATTATTCAAATATATACTTCTTATTGAGTTATGACAACTACTCTATACTGTTCTAGAAGCATGTGGTGAAAATAGGTCGTTTTACTTTTTTCAAATCGTAGAAAATAACCGAGGAGAAGAAGTTATTTTAAGTTGATGATGCAGTTGCAAATTTACAAGTTTTATAATTTTGTTCTGTGGCAATCAACTACATAGTAGACTAATGAATTCTCTTACTTAAACGTCTCTCAAAGTATGTAATTGGCGACATCAGATATACTTCATCTTTATTTATTCCTGTAATTCCTGCCATCAGTTTGCTTGCTCAATATATATCGTTTCTTATGTATCGATTCTAAAATTACTAACGATTCTAATGTGTCGATTCTCTTACTTAAACGTCACTCAAAGTATGTAATTGGTGACATCAGATACACTACACCTTTATTTATTCCAGTAATTCTTGCCATCAGTTTGTTCATTACTACTGATTCGAATGTGTCGATTCTCTATTTTAAACGTCACTCAAAGTTTGCAATTGGTGACATCAGATACACTACACCTTTATTTATTCCTATAATTCTTGCCATCAGTTTGTTCGCGTTTCTAATGTATCGATTCTAAAATTACTAATGATTTTAATGTGTCGCTTCTTTTACTTAAATGTCACTCAAAGTATGTAATTGGTGACATCTGATACACTACACCTTTATTTATTCCTGTAATTCTTGCCATCAGTTTACTCATCATGTTTCTAATGTATCGATTCTGAAATTACTAATGATTCTAATGTGTCAATTCTCTTACTTAAACATCACTCAAAGTATGTAATTGGTGACATCAGATACACTACACCTTTATTTATTCCTGTCATTAGTCTGTTTGTTCAATATATATTATTCCTAATGTATCGATTCTAACATTTATAGTGGAAACATAAATTATATTACAAAAACGCAGTTTATATTAGATCCAAAATTTCATTCGCAGCTACTCTAGCGAGGGAAATAAATTCTTATGAAAGCAATAAAACATATTCCATGAACTCATATGGGCATTTTTGATCTGTCAATGGATATTTACGGCTTGAAATTGAAAGCAGTGCCAGTTTCAGGGGGTATATTTACTCTCAGTATCGTTTGCTTCTTTCCTTTTCTTTGCCCGGGGAAGTCGCAGAAGAAAACATTTTTCCAAATCTCTTCGGGTAAAATACTGCCCCCTTTCGTAATGTGATTTCTCATAGAATTCTTTTCTATCTTCAGCTGCAGTGATAATTTCTCTTTCTCCACCCCTTTAGAGGGGGGGTGGGGCCTCAAGAAACGTTCGATTTTTCGATATGGATCTCAGTCTATGACATAGTTCGGAGGGAAAACACTCCACGGCGGCTGAATTATCGAAAAAACAGTTAGAGTTGATGGAACCTTATGTTTGAGAAAGAAGCTCTCAGATTTTCTCGAATTGTATTTAAGAAAAGTGCTGCTGTAATCAAAGACAAGGAATGGAATTTCCGGGAGTTAAGACCGATGAGATTTATCCTTTCCGTTTATTTGGAATCTTATTTTTGAGAAGTTTTTGGGGATTTTTTTTTTCGATTACTCAATTAAGGGAATTCAATCCAATAGCACTGTTTGTCATTACACACGAAACTAAATGATGGTTTCCTATTTTACTCAACTAACAAAATACATTTCAGTACTTTGGCTATTACTGGATAAATTTGGTTCGAAACAGGTTTGACATAAGTAGTTGGCAATATTTTCAATATTTTTTATTAAAAAAATGGAACACCTAAATCACTCAAGGTATCATAGTGCAAAAACATGATTTTAGACAAAATTTTTTAAATTGAGTTTATTATAAATTTAAAATTCTTGTAATCTTAGCTTTCTAAAAGTACTTTACTTTTGTTTGCATTCCATTTCTCTTCAAAATACTTGTTTCCAAAACTTCTTCCAACTCATGAAACAACGTAGCAAGGCCTTCTTTTTGCTTAAAAAAATAGCACGAATTAAATTTTTGTCCGTCGAGTTTAACTTTTGAAAGCTTTTATATTGTTTTGAAAGGTGATTTATATAATTTGATAGCTAAATGAAACGGAACTATATGCTGTACCGGATGATTTCTTAAATCTTAAACTACAATGGTCTTTTCTTAACTTGCAACGGAATATAATGATTTAATGTATTTAGTGTTTGGAATTGCCAACTTCACAACAAATTATGATTAGAAATTTAAAAGAATTATATCTTGTAAAATGAATAAATAGTCATATAAAGTTACAAAGTAGTGTTATATGAAAAGATTTCATGATTTTTTTACTGAAAAGAAAAGGAAAAATTTATTTTTTTCGACAAATTTTTTTTTTTAGCGAAACAAACTTAAAAACGAGAGAATTTAAAAATTTAATTTTAAAGGAAAATTACTTCGATATACTCAGAGTTAGAACATAAAACAGAAATAGCAATTTTGCGCTCTTAATAACTTTTCCTCTAAATAAACATTCAATTTTGTAAGCAAGAAACAACCCCTAGTTAACTTATTTATAGGGAGACTTATACTAAATATTTGAAAAGAATAGTTCTTTTTTTTGAATTGAAGAAAACATAAATTGTATTAATCGTAAAGACAACACAAATCGCAAACTTCATTTATCGTGTAATACGTACCTCATTTCATTCCACAAACAATATGGCAAGGACTGATTTCTTTTTCTCCAAGTGATCATTTAATTTAGCAATTAGGAAACAACCCCCTTTAAACAATCCCAAAGGAAGACTAATTCTGAATGTTTGAAAGAAGTGCTTCTTGTTTGAATTGACGAAAACATAAATCGTATCAACTGCTTTTACGCTGTAATTATCACTAATTAAGTGATCGTAAAATTTTAAAAGTTCTTTTAAAGCGATTAAAAAGATAAAAATATTTTTTACAACATCAAAGTAAAAGTAGTGAAAAGCAAAAAGGTTTTTACTGCTTTGCTTTTTTTTTATGATTCCCTTAAGTAAGCTAAATAACGGTTGAAATCATTTGATTTTAATGAAAGGTTTCTTTTAAAACATTTCATTTCAGAATGATTTTTATAAGTTGCTCTCTAAACAAGTTGGTAAATACATTTAAAATACAATATTTTTATTGTATTATAAGTATTTAAATATCTGATTTTAAAAGTGTAGTAATTAAGGATTCATGAATACATTTAATTAAAACGTAAACCTCTGTTTCATCTCATTATCAATAATAATTTTAAACCGTTTTTAAATGTCTAGTGCTATTTTTTATTGGATTTCAGAATCTCAGTTTGCAAATTGTTAAGCACGTTTAATCTTGTAATGAAATTACTAAGATAGGGAACAGCAGTGGTTTCCAAAGAGTGTTCCGCGTAGCCCTTGGGTTCCATGAAAGAATTTAAGGGGTTCCGCAAATTAGCAAGGTGTTAGTATTTTTTATATCCAGCAATGAGTTTTGAAACTTCCAATAATACTTAGATCGAATCTATAAATCCTAATTTACGTACTTTTTTGGCTGCGTTTGTGAAATTACAAGTAAAATGCTAATGAAATATAAATAGCATTATTTTAAAATTAAATATAATAATTCTAATAACAATATATTGAGCAAATTATTAAAAAAGAAGCATTTATAAAATTTAGTAATGGTATTTCCTTTAACGTTTTTTAAATCAGACTAAAATAACTGACTTCTTTAACAACGAAATATGTTGTCCAAATAACCATTTTCTATGTTTATAGCACTTCTTTTAAGTTTTCATTTCCACGCAAACCATAATTCTGTCAATTTCAATTCGTTTTCAGCTTATGTATATACACCAAAAAAAAATTAATAACTAAACTAGATGTAAGCACAAGTGCCGCAAATTTAACTGCTGGACATAAAACTGAACTTAACCCTTTGCTTACGGTGCACCATGTTGTACCATCACGCGTGGTCCAGATGCTGTACCAGCCGTAAGCAGATGGTTGATATCATTATCGTAGAACAATGAAAATTTTAATTTCTCTAATTAAATATTTTAAATATAATCTTTCATGTGTAATAACTTTTACAATTAACTTAATTAACTTTATTTATGAAGTCAGAGTTTCGCCAAAAGAATGTTGATTATTCACGGTTCTGCGTAGCCAAAAAAAATTGGGAACCACTGGGATCACTTTATTTTCTATATGTTTGTAAATGTTTGATGTTCCATTAAGCATTTTGCATTTCGCAATAAACTGTTGTCCAATAAATTGGTTCCAGTAAAGCTGTTTTTCATTCAATTCTTGAAAATCTTTCAAATATGTTGACAAATGCGCTCCGGTGGTGCAGCTTTTTAAGACATCGCTCACCCCGCTGGGTCTAGAGCGGAGGATACTGAGTTCGACCCTGACTGCCAACAAAACAACCGGCGTCTATACACAGTAAGGAGCACATAACTTAGTCGTGACTGAAAGTCCCTTCCTTGGTTGTAGTGTGGAAGTATGGAGAGACGGGGACCGTCCACGTCATCTGCCCGTGATCAAAATTACGAGGAATTCTTACCATGACTGATAAAAGGTGAAGCCCTAAAAATGGGTCTAGGTGCTTGGCTATAGTTGTTTGACAACAATGTATGCTTGTTAGGTTTTCAAGATATCACCATTTAGACCAAGGTTAAATTCGCTGGCAAAATGCTAGCAAGCGACAGGAGTGAACAACAGGCTGGCAAAGTGCTAGCAAACGACAGGAGTGAACAACAAGATGGCAAAGTGCTAGCAAACGACAGGAGTGAACAACAGGCTGTCAAAGTGCTAGCAAACGACAGGAGTGAGCGCTAAACGTCCACTTTAAAGGCTGTTGTCAGCATCGTTCCTGCAGCATCTTTCTTCTGCAAACGACTTGAAAGTTCGAAAGACTTAATACAGTTGGTATATTCTGATATTCCATGGACAAAGGGATTCGCTGTTATTGGAGTCAGTCCAGATGTACCTTAAGATTGTCCACGATAGTTTCATAAAAACTGTGTTGATGATTGAACCATAATTACTTTACTTTGAACGATTATATAATACTAGGAGGCTTCGCCCCCTGCTCGCTGGCGCTCACCAACCCTCAGAACTGCTTTCGCAGTTCATTTCGGATTGCTTCGCAATCCAATGCTCGCTTTGCTCGCTCATTGGATACGTTCTTAACGTCTAGCTTTTGTATACTTTTTTGAATACTGAAGTTCCGAAAACTTTTCACTGTAGAAAATTCTAAACCTGTACATTTCAATATTAATTTGAAATTGCAAACAGTTCACATATTTTTCTTAATCACACTATTCTAAATTTCAGTTGTTGAGAAAAGTAACTGTTGTAAGTTTTGTTTTAAAGTCTTTCCCACCAGAGGGCTAAAGCCATGTGTTGTAAAACAATATGAAATAGTAGTCTGCCACTGAACGCCGGATGTAAAGCATCGGCTTTGATGAAGATAATTTTGTATTTTTAATTCTCTGAAGGGCGCCACCTTAATAATATGGAATTTGTAAAATAAATGTATATATTTTTGATTGTTGATGAAGCCCATCATTTTGTGTTTTCATCAGTGTTCAGAAGCAGAACAACTATAAGTTTTTTATTTTATCACAAAAATATAAAATGTATAAAAAACAAAGAAAAGAGTAAGAAAATGAGTATAGTCATAGAAAAAGTTAAAATTATAATATAGTATTTGTCAGTTAAAATAAAACTTTTTGTTTAAGTCATTGCTAACAATTCAAATTTCTCCGAGGCAATTCTAAAGTATAAATTAAGGTAGTATTGTTAAGTTGAAACACAATATTTTTAGTTTTGATGTCAACAATACAATTCAATTTTTCACAAAAACGATTGTTTCCATTGTTAAGTTCAATGTCAACAATTCAAATTTTTCTGAGGCAACTCTTAACCTCTAAATATTATTTTTTTTATGTACACATTTCTAAATGTCAGTATTCAACCACAAAACAACTTAAAGTCCTCAAATTTAGCATGAAGTTGTAAAATGTAATGAAAGAGGGTCATAGCAATAATGAAAGTAGAAGTAAAGTTAGTACTGTAAAATTAAAACAATATTTTTAATCAATGAGCCAAGTTCTTCAAGAAGCAGTTGTAGAAGTAGGTTGTTTATTTAAAACTTTTTATAGAATTTCTTTAAGAACACAATTGTTAATTTGGGCATTTGGCGATACAACACTTTTAGAATTGAAGGATTTGTTACGTCAAGCGCTCAGGTATCATAATTTTGATCTAGTTGCGCTTCTATGTCATTTTGATTTATGTTGCTAAGTTAACTTTCAAAAAATTCTATGGCTGGCAACAGCATTTTTATTTTTTAAGTTGTTTATTTTTATTTCTTTTAGAATTCGTTATTTTTTTAGCGAAATGTTTTTTAACCTAACAGAATTCTTTGCCGACTGTTTTCTCTATGAATGAAGAAAATAAAGTAAATATTTAACTGTTGTGAAAAGAATCTTATTTAGTTGTACAAAGTACTTCAGCCAAAATTTGGGAGCCACGTAAGAGAATTATATATATTAGATCAGAAACACATCATTAAAAGGCAGAATGCTTTGGTGTTTTCAAAACAAAGCAAACGTTGCCACCGGCGGAAAAGAAATACAGCCAAAATTTGGGAGCCACGTAAGAGAATTATATATAATAGATAAATTTTCTAAAGCCTTAATAAAGGGTAAAAGGAATCATCTGTTCATTCAAGTTAAACCATAGTATCGTAGAAGTTTAAAAACTACGATAATATTGTTTACCTTAGCACCATATTAATGCTACTTCAAATTTGAACTGTTGCCATTCACTTCATAGTAACAGTGCAGTTGATTGAGGCATTTGATTTTGTCTTAATTATTTTCTTTATATTTTTTTTCTTGAATTTCATGTCGGTTAATACTTTTGCAAAAAAAAAAAAGATAAAAATAAATCACCTTTTCATGTTGATAATTGCGATTTAATCTTGACTCACTAGCAAACGGTTTTCTTCTAAGTTTAATTTTTGTAATAACACACTATACAAGCATTTTAGTATAGTTAACACTATTTAAATCTTCCCACTTTCATGTTTCAGAAAAATAGGTACAGTTTAATTAATGATTATTTCGTTTTCTTCAGAAATTTTTACACCATTTGTCCATAAAAGTTTTTTGGACATTGTTCGCCGTAAAGCAGCAAACATTTGACAATAAATGTCCGCCTTATATTCAGTTCTTACTGCTAAAAATCTTACAAATTCTTTTTATTCTGTTCTGTAGGCATCCATCTTAGTGCAGCTTTACAGTCACTTTGAATGCTGCTATGCGAAATGGTTTATCAGTTATGGGCGATTCGGGGCGTTTTTTTCTTGTCTCTATTTAATAGCTCTGCAGTTTGGTGCTGTTATCAGTACTTTATTTCTGACTCTACCAGGCACGTCTACTTTTCATTTGTGCAATTCTTATGCTTCAGAATTATTAAAATGTCAGTATTTGTCAGTCTTTTTACGGAAAACTGAAGGCAAGTTTGATTTCACTCTTTTTCCATCTCAATTTAAAGTAAAAAGTGACAAACCGAACTGAAAGAATAACAAAAACCTCTGACAACACTTACTATTACTTGTCAAGACCAAACCCGAATAATATTTGCTATCCTGAAAGACAACGATTCCTTGTACCTTAGAGGGACAAATGTTCTCGAAAAATCCATCCACCCCCTCTTCCAAATGAATTTAGATCACTTTAAAGACGGGTATGGTGGTCTCACGAAAAAAGGCCGATTCTCAAACAGAGCTGTGGGAATAAATTATTCTAATGGGGACGTCTCTTCGAAGCGATTTATGTCGTGACGGTCGTAGTGAAGGCAAATAAAAGAGGAGGTTCCGCCAATTTTCAGAACTGAAGTGAAGAAAGAGAAGTGTTTGTCTTTCGTCGATCGAAATTTAGTTGCAATGGATGTTGGGAGGGAAAAGCGAAATCGTCTGACGATATAGCCGAATCCACTTATTTACATTGTCGCGCAATTATTTGCCGACGAAGGCTATAGTTCTGTAGAAGAGGATAAAAGAAGAGATATTGCTAAAGGGGTTATCCCGTAGTTGAAACTAAGTTCTTTTCAAAAGATCTTTAGAAATTCATTCTTTTAAATTCTCTTTTATCTCGAAATGCAACCTAAAGTGGATAATGTTTTGAAATTTGAATTGGAAATATATTTTTGGTTTTGGGTTAGAATGTTTATCCTCAAAAATTTTGATAATTTTATAGATTGAACTTTTTTAATAATCACAAGTGGAAATCGTAGTTAATTTAAAATAATTTTCTTCTTTAGAATGTGAGAATGTTAAAAAGAAAGAATTGAGGAATACTAAATTATTCCATAGTTTAAATCATTTTCGGTTAGGATTGAGTTGTAACAAATATTGAAACAATTTGAAAAATGTTTTTAATTATATTAATGTTGAAAGAAATTTTTACACTATAATTGGGCAATATTAAAAGTTAAAACTGTTATGCTTTTAAAGTAAAAGTTAAGTATTTTTAATTTATTAACGTAAAAATTTAATGATAATCAATTTTATCATTCCATATCAAATTGATCTACAATAAAAAGAGTTGACCAACATTGATTTGTATAAGAATAATGGAGAAAAAAGCACAAGATAGTTTTTACCGATACAACAACATTTAGTTAATTATAAAATTTGATTTATTGTTCTATAACAGAATCACTTACAGGTGAGGTTACTTTTTATATTGTCATAAGAGCTGAATGACGAAAATGTTTAAAAGCGTAATATAATTATCTTTAATTAAAATGATTCGACGAAATGCTGGTGATGGTCGGTAGTAAATTATAATATTGCATAATGAAATAGTTTATCTTCATAATTTAATAAAATAATGAATAAGATGATGAGGAATTAAGATGATCTAATAATATGATGAAAATACATGACACAATAAATAACCACATAAATAAAAACTGGTAAATTAATTATTCATGTAAAAAATACTGAATTAATAATATAAATACTTATATTAAAATTTTGAATTTTTGCTTTGATATATTTTAATGTAAAAGCTCTAAGTGTCGGAAAATATTACCATAGATTGTAATGTAACAGTTCTAGGTTTCGGAAAGCATTACGATAGATTATAATGTTATAGTTCAGGGTAACGGAGAGTATTAATATAGATCGTAATGTAACAATTGCAGGCTTCGGAAAGCATCACGATAGATCATAATTTTATAGTTCAGGGTGACGGAGAGTATTAAGATAAATCGTAATGTAACAATTCTACGTTTCGGAAAGCATCACGATAGATCATGATGTTATAGTTCCGGGTGATGCAGAGAATTAAGATAGATAGTAATGTAACAATTCTAGGTTTCGGAAAGCATCACGATAGATTATAATGTTATAGTTCAGGGTGACGGGGTGTATTAATATAGATCGTAATGTAACAATTCTAGGTTTCGGAAAGCATCACGATAGATCATAATGTTATTGTTCAGGGCGACGGAGAGTATTAAGATAGATCGTAATGTAACAAGATTTCGGAAAGCATCACGATAGATCATAATATTATAGTTCAGGGCGACGGAGAGTATTAAGATAGATCGTAATGTAAAAATTCTAGGTTTCGGAAAGCATCACGATAGATCTTAATGTTATAGTTCAGGGTGACAAAGAGTATTAAAATAGATCGTAATGTAACAATTATAGATTTCGGAAACCATCTCGATAGATCATAATGTTATAGTTCAGGGCGACGGAGAGTATTAAGATAGATTGCAATGTAACAATTCTAGGTTTCGGAAAGTATCACGATAGATCATAATGTTATAGTTCCGGGTGACGGAGAGTATTAAGATAGATCGTAATGTAACAATTCTAGGTTTCGGAAAGCATCACGATATATCATAATGTTACAGTTCAGGGTGACGGACAGTATTTAGATAAATCGTAATGCTATAGTTCTT